ATAGTTTTATATTTAGTTTGTAATAAAATAAGCCATTTTATGACACATTTTCCTAATTACAATTGTACCAACATTTTCAACCCTGTTTTCTTTAAATTTTACTTTTGCTGCACACATTTTCCATCTCTTTTGCCTTTGTTATTATTGTTGTATTTTATTTATATTAAGTATGTTCGGTGTTGATTCGTTCTCATTTTCCCCATTTAGTTGTGCTCAATTTTCTGTTGTTGTTGTTAAAATATGGCAAAATTAAATCCCCTCGTATGAATGACTTAACAACATTGCATTTGTATTTTCCGCTGATTTTTTTTTTGTATGTTTTCTTTTTTTTTTCTTCGTTATGACATTTCTTCCGTTTTATTCTGTTCTATTCTCTGAAAAACTGCAGTTATATATTTCAAAATACATAGGTTTTTTTTCTGTATATACATTTTTTTATTTTCAAAAATATTTGTTCTTTTTAGTGTGTTATAGTTAGTGGTTTCAAAGAAAAAAAAACTATATATGTATATTTTCTGGCTTTTTAATGATGTAATAAATACAAGGATGATGTAATTTAAAAATTTTTGGAGAGTGTAAAAAGACCTATTAATTAATTAGCTAATCACTTACAAATGCATTTATCAGAAGGATATTCTTGTTATAGCTTTTTTTCTCCTTGCAGTTAATTTTACTTGTATTCGAGATTCTGTTTAGTTTTCGTAATTACTCATTAATGACTCAGTAGTTTTTTTTGGTTTTGTTTTATTTTATTTCAGTGACATTGTAAATGCTTGTGTTTTTTCCTAAAATAAGAGTATCGACTTGACCTTGTTATTTATGAGCAATCGGTTATTAATTGATCATGTCTTATTTGTTAGTAGTAGGCCTATGTTAATGTCAAGAGTGTACCTGTTTTGAATCCTGAGTTCAGTGTATGTATTTAATATGTGTAGCTTCTTATCTTTTGTTAGAAAATTTTCCCCGGTATTTACTTTAATCGACGTTTTTATTAACTTTAGGGTTACCAGAGTTTAAAGTTTTTAATTATTACCACATGGAATAAATAAACTCCTATCGTAGCCTTTCTAAGACATTGTTCTTTTGTGAAAGCATCTAAGGTAATCAAGGAGAAACTATTCTACTGGATTTAGTCCTCCTAAGTCATTATTCTTTTGGAAGCAATGTTTCTATAACACTAGTCTTTTGGAAAAGATTCTTTGATGATAATATTTAATTTCAAAAGTCTTTCCAAGACTTTGCTCTTCCTAAGAGACTATCATTTTGAAAGGAGTCTTCTTGTGAGACTTATCTATAGAAAATATTATTCTTTTGGAAAATTTCCTTCAAAAGTCATTGTTCTATTAAATAGGAACATTGTAACGTGCGTAATTCCATTCGGTTTCATATTGAAAAGTTCTTTTCAAGACATTATTATATTTGATATAGCCTTCCTAAGTCTATAGCCTATTGGAAAAGTTTACTGGTCTTCGTAAGATCCAAACAACATCGCTAGTAGCCTATTCTTCTTATAATAAGCATTATTTTGTTGAATGAAGTCTAATGTTAAGATTGTAGGGTCTTTTTACTATAAATCGATTGAAAAGGGTCTTTATAGGAACTTATTCCTTTGAAGAGGTTATGATCATCCTAAGACAGTATTCTATTGGAACGTTCTCCCTAAGTTACTGTTTTATTCGATAGGGTCTTTATAAAACACTACCATGGGAAACTGGCTTACAAAAAGACTAAGTAGTCCTTAATAAGGCTTTCCTGAAGAGATTATTTTATTAGGAATTATATTCCATTAAAAAGAGTTTTTGTAAAGCACTTTTAGTGGTTTCCTAAAGGACTCTTCTTCTGAAAAGTATCTTCCTAAAGTACATTATTCTATTGGAATGAGCATTTTTTAAGTCCCTATTGTATAGGATATTGGAAAGCGGCTTCAAAGAATACAACTTTTAAAAATACCTTACGAAAAAGTATTTTTTTAAAAATATCTTTCAATGGTAGTGTTCTATTGAAAAGTGGTATAGTAATCCACTTTCAGTGTCACTATTCTATTGGATAAGGCTTTCGTAGGAAACTTCTTTCTAAGAAACAATTTTCTTATGATAACTTTCTATAAAAAAGCGTCTCTCAAAGCTACTTAATCTATATTAAAATGTATTTGAAACATTATATTCCCGCGGGTTTAAAAAATGGCAATGTCACATTATTTTCTAAAATAAACATTCTGGTAACCCTTTCACACTACATCACACACACAAACAAGACGCCACCAGTCAAGTAATGACACTAAATGTCAACTTTTTTTTGCATTTCACAATAACAATGTTATTACGGGATTTCTCAGATAATAATCAAAGTTTTTTTGTGTTTTTTTTTTTTTGCATAAAATAAAAATACTTGGAAAAATGTTAATAAAAATGTAAACAATACGTAAACGAAGAAATTTCTCTGTTTATTTACTACGTTTTAATTTAAGGTGAGTATGATGAATTTGTTAAAAAACAAATTGTAAAATTGCAAAAACAAACAATTTTACACCAAAGGAAAGTTGAACGAAAAGAGAGTGAGAAAAAGTCAAGCTAAAAGAAACTAGTGATAGAAGATGAAAGTGATGGAAGATAATGAGGGGGTTTAAGTTAAAATAACAAATTTTAAAGTTATGGATTAATTAATGAGATAAAATAAATAGTATTATAACTGCTAAATAAGGTTATTCAACCTATGGGCCAAAAAAAATTTTATAAATTATAAAGTTACTCTTTGTGTTATGAAGTTAAATGAGGGAGGCTAGAAAGGGTGTTATATTGGGAACAGGGTTAGGGTGTGAACAAATTGCAGTTTTTGTTTTTTTTTAAGTGACGTCACTTGAAAAAAATATTGCAGTTTGTTTTTATTTCGTTAGATTTTCTGGGAAAAGATATTTTTTTCTTCTTACTGTAGAATACTCATTGTCGTTGAGTCACAGTTGTTTTCTTTCCAAAGCAAAAAAATTATTTACATGAAATTCCATATCCATGCCACCATAGTTTATAGTATAAATGAGTGTGTAAAAAAACTGCTTACCAACACATATTTTTTTTTTTAAATATTGAATTATTAACAAAAGAAAAAACGGAAGAAAACACAATAAAAAATCATCATCATCAACACACACACACAATCGTTGAAACATATATAGTTTATTTTTAAACCCCTCTTGTACACCCCAACGCTCTTGCTGCTCCACTCTTTTATCACCAACACTCATTACCTTCATTTGACTATTTGAACAAAATCTCTTTATGTGTAGTTCTTTTTTTTTATAATTTTTCTTTGCCTTAACCTCTCTTACACACTCCTCACACCGTTGTCAACACCTTAAAGCTCTTCTCCTCTTATTCATCATCATCCTCTGTGCTTTTTTTTTTTTCAAACTAGAAAAAAAAGCGAAAATTACTTATAAAACCCTCGAAATGCGTTTTCTATATCATAATATTGCACAGTTTTGTATATGATTTGAAGTAAAAGCGCTACAACGACAAGAAAATGACAAGGAGGCCGGTAGGGAGGGGAGGAATGAGACCAAAACAAAAGAATTTCAATATATGTATGTACAAAAGCAAAAAAATGTTCAAGTATATTATTTATATTATACGGCTATTTTGTTGTTGTTGTTGTCGTTTCTTCTTCTTTATGTTTCTACTAGTACTGCTGCTGCTTCTTCTTTTTATTATTATTTTTTTTTACGTATGGCACAAATACAACAACAATAATAATATGAAAATAAAATAAATGGCGACCACGCCGTTTTTATATTCGTTCATCATCGTTCACAGACCCAGCTTTTTATCGTTGATTTTTTGTGGTAGAGAGCTGCTGGCATAGCAGCTAAAGACTAAAAATTTTAAACGTACATTTACTCAACGGAACATCGAAAAAATCACCAAAACATATGTACAATAATGTTATTATTATATATGTACCTAAATATTTCCACCACGATAAACTTGAAACGAAAAAAAATCTAAATAACCGAACACTTAAAACGAGTTTATTGAGATTTTCTCTGTGTGTAAAGTGTTTTTAACTCTCTCTCTCTTTTTCTCTCACTTTCATTGAATTACTCTCCCGCTGTGTGTTAAGTTTTTCTCTTTTTTTTTAACTGTTCTCATTAATTTATTATCTCTTGCTCTTCTCGCTCTCTCTATCTTTCTCTCTAAATATATATAAATTATCTCTAGAGTTTTTATTACAATATACTTATAGAATTTTTCTGCTTTTTTTGTTCAAAAATATTTATTTATTCTTCATATTTGATTTGGTCTACAGACCGTTTTTCGACTACACATAAATTATTATAGTGCTTTTAATTCATATTTGTTGCTGTTTTGTTTTTGACTTATCTAAGAAATGTATAGTAAATTATTATATAGAAAATTATTTCGTACATTATTGTTATTTTTTTGAGCTGTAATATAGAAAAAATTAAATCGATGTTAATGTGTTTGTTCGTGTCTGCTAACTTGTCTGTCCGTCCGTCCGTCCGTCTGTCTGGCGTGTCTGTTTGCCTTCAAATTTATAGGTCGTCTTCTAAATTAAATCAATTATATATTGTTTTTCTGTAATAACTATTGCATTTATTTTTATTAATGACGAAATATTTGTTTTGGGGGTGGTTAGTTATTATAATATTACAGTTAAAACCATTTAAAAATGTTTTAACACATTTTTATATAAATAAAAATTACAGTGGTTGACACAAATTGTGTCTAGTTAAGAAAAATTTGTTATAACTTCACATTTTTATCAAGCTTTAAATAGTTTAATATAAATTTTTATCTACTAGGACTTTCTTTTGGATCTTCATTTGAGATTACCGGTACATTTGCCCCGAAATGCTTGTCCGCACTCACTTACGCTTACGTAACGTGCAATTTAATTAGATGTGTAATTAGGATATGAAAAGAAATTTCTGTAGTTTAAAGCAGGGAAATTTATTGGCTCTGCAGGAGATAGGGCTTAACTTTCCTATACTGCTGACTAAAGAGCAATATTCTTTTGGATTTTCATTCGAGATTTACGCCGAAATTCTTGCTCTCAATACGCTTACGTAAAGTGTTACTCAATTTAGACTGCATTACACCTATTTGTATGATTTGTGGAAAAATCTTTTGAACGTAACTATTGGGTTTCTTGGATATTGAAGAGATCGATCTTCATTTGAGATTAACTTTACATTCTCATCAAAATTCTTGCTCTCAATACGCTTACGTAAGCGTATGAAATACAATTTATACTGTATTACATTGTTCTGTAGCTCTGGAGGAGTCATTTAAAATCTATTCTTGTTAATCGAGGATTCTGTCATGTCTCTCCTATAAGCTCGGCTTTAAGATCCAGGCACTTGACAAGAAGAGTTTTCATCCATGTCGATCTCGACATTAAGCTCTTGCTAGTGGAACTAGTTACTATTAATTGCAAGAGGAATGCCAATGTCGAAACAAGATAGTTGACAAGAAGTGATTCTTTGTCTGAGACCTTTATCAAGAGATCAATCTGACGATACAGCTTTACCAGCAAATTCTGCTTCTCTAAAGTGTAATCCACTTCTATCAATAATTGGCTTCCTAAAGAATCCTTCTTCTCGAAAAGGATCACTATTCTATTGAATAGGATATTGAAAAGGCGCTTCCAAGAATACTACTTTTAAAAAGCTTTTCCAAAGAGATTATTATTTCATCTTCCAAGGCACTTCTATTGCATAGATTGTACGTAAGTCACTTCTATTGATACGCATCTTTCTAAAAGACCCTTCTTTTGAAAAGAATCTTCCTAAAGCAGTCTCTTGAATATTTAAGAGGCCTTTGGTAGTGAAAAGTCGGGTGGAATTTAATGGTAGTGGAGTGGATAGTGGTTAACCAGTTAATCATTAATGCTATCATAATACCAATGGAAAATCGAAATATTCCGTGTGTCACCTCATATGCTGTCTTACCAATGGCTTCTTAAATCTATGATCCATGCAATAGATAAGAAGGTATCTTAACGCTAATCGGATGGATATTTAAGAAAATTTCGGGTGGATTTATCCTTCATTTACTGCTTAGCATAGAACCATTATATATGCCATGGAAAATGCCACTGGTGAAACGAGGCACTTCGTAAGAAGTGAATCTATAATTCAGGCACTTGTCAAAAAGGAATTTTGTCAACATTGACTTTCTGGCGCTTAAAACGCCTTCATTATTAGAGGAGCTAGTGCTAATTGTAATTACTAGAATCATTATATCTGCTATGGAAAAGGCCACTGATGAATCGAGGCATTTTGTAAGAAGATGCGAATGCTTATGCGAAAGACAAAAACTATTCGAAACCACATCTATATGAAGTGGATTTCAGACTTCATGTCAGTGCGCTGTCTAGAGATTCACAATCACATCTATATAAATTGTGACCTTGTGACTGTGCGTAGTCTAGAAATTCGAAACCTTATCTATATGAAGTGGATCTCAGACTTGGTGACAGTGCAAAGTATCAAGGTATTCTTCTGGATCAGAAACTGTCATGAAACCTGACTTGATTGCAGGCACTTAAGGTTAGAGCCTATTTTCAATCCCGCCGACCTCCTGGTCGAGCAATTAGCTATAGTCGTAAGCCGTGGGCTGGAGATGAAAGGAGAGTGATATTTAAAAAATATATCAAAAGACTAAAAAGTTATCGGATTAGATGTGTTCACTTGAATTGGATCGATTCTCTATCAGACATGAACAAATAGCCGTCCTGTATGGAGAGATGAATGAATGATCCGTATCAGTGTGAGGACCCAAGATAACAAATTGTCAACAGTAAAAGAAGAAGTTACTAATGAACATTTTTCCGGGAGTTATCGTGAAATTTGGCGGAGATTCTCGGGAAATTTACCGGGCATTCAAGCATTTTGACATTTGTTTAAATAAAACTCTTTTAATTTATCATTTGCATTGCCAAGAATATATAACAAGGGATGCTATTTATAAAACCTTGATCGATTATTTTGACAGATGACATTTTTTTTAAAGAATCTGCTTTTTTTGTATTTAAAAAAATGCAGACAAAAGAACTTTGTCCTACAAATGGCAGCAACTAGATAATAATATAAAAGAATAAAGAGTAATTTTACAGATTTTTTTCTTTTCAAAAATTTCGTTTATAGAAAAAGGGAAACAAATCGGCTACTTGCAAACAAACAGAACAAACAAAGACCTCAAACATTTATCAAACCCAACTACAACTATTACGAATTGGAAACAAAATATAAGAAAAACATGTGTATGTATGTATGTACATATACATATATGTAAACACAAAAGTATTTATTTGGTACATAATAAGAAATGGAAACCAGAACAATTTTTTACACATTTTTTCTTTATTCTACATATTTTCTAAAACTTGGACAGAAATAACAATAACATTAAAGAAAAAAAACGACAAAATAGTCACATAACAACAACAATAAGACTTTAAAATTAAACACAGACTACAAAAAACTAGAGATAGACAATGACGACGAGCAAAGTCTAAAACATTAGATATTTAAAACAATTCATAAAAACAGTAAAATATTAATAATTATAATGATAAAATACAAACAATTGTAGTTATTCAATTTTATAAAGTGTGGTTAGTGTGTTTTGTGTTATTGGATTTCATAAAAAGATTATTAGTTTAATTGATTAGTGTGAATGATGGAAGAGAGAACATGTGAGTATTCACATGTAGACTTACTAAAGATTGCAAACAGTATAAATAAATAGAGTGAGAAAGAGCAAATGAATGACACTTAAAAAAATAATTGCTAAAGTTTATTAAAAACTTAACGCTCTTATATCATAAAACTATGTTAAGTTTTCTGGACAGTTTTCTACTTAGTACCTAATGCAAGTTTATATTCGTCAAACAAGTCTAGAAATCTTGTTAGGAAATCCACTAGTATCGGACAATGATTTTTTCCGACTGATGACTTTGGCATTTCTCAAATGTGAACCTTATAGTCTCAAGAGATACTTGATGCTTGTAATTAAGAAAGTTGTTCCATTTCTTTCTTAGCAAAACCATAGTGATCATAATTCATATGAAGTTTACATGTAGAATATGGGAAAATGCTAGACCTTAACCTCAAGAAACCAGTTGACAATTAAATCTTGACAGATATATTTGGTTTTATCGAACTATGATATACCTATCCATAACGAACTGTTTACTGGGGCTTACAAAACTAAGTTTACGCCATAAAGGGAATTCTCTCTATATTGTCTCCTGCACTAGAAGAATTGGGACTCAATAAGAATGAAATGTTTACATGTAGAAAGTGGAAAAATGCTAGACCTACCTTGTCTTGATCTTTTTTCGATGGCTATGGCTGCTAAGTCAGCTGTAATACACAAGAAACCAGATGACAGATTCATTGGGTTTTACCGAACTTTGGTAGAACTTTTTAGAACAGAATTATAACAGGGGCTTACTGAACTGCTTTCCAGAACTGAAATTTACGCCATAAAGAGAATTCTCTCTGGATTTTCTCCTTCACTAGTAGAATTGGGAAGGGTTTTTAAAACTCAATAAGAAACGACTTAGTTTGTAGAATTAAAGTGGGTTTTCCAGAGATGAAACAGAAAAGGCACTGTATTAAAACGAAAAGGCTATAAAGAACTTTGACTGCAATCACTACATTAAGAAGTTAAACTGCGACATTCTTTGACTGTCAGTCAAATGTCTTAACAACTTATTTAAGAATGAATACTTAGTATTCTTGGACTAGAGATTGGAGAATTCGTTTAGATGAATATGAAATATGGGGAAAATGCCATCTACGATCGCCCTTTCGTGATCTTAGCTGTTTATAAAGTGTG